AAGTAGAGGACTGTGCTTAAGAATGAGATCTGTAAGAACTGGTGTAATAAATAGTGGTTACAATGATACAGTTCTCTGCAAAAGCTTGGATAATCAACTTCAGCAGTGGCATTAGCTTGAATTTGTTTTCTTAATTGACCAGAGGTTTGACATACGTTTCAGTTGGGCAAATTGATCCTTGTTGGACTGGTGCAGAAGTTTTAGCAATTTCTTTGCTTGTAAACAGAATTCTTATTTTAGTGAGAATAAAGATCTTTGTAATTTGAAGCCAGTTGCCAGCAGAGAGTTGCAAATTGTTAATGCAGGGTTAAACTAATTTACAAATGAGGAAGAGCTTGAATTTAAGAATCTTCTACATTGTTACAGAAATACCAGAGTTGTGCTCTTCCTAATATAACATGTACGTGCTATTTTGAAACAGGATGCTAGCTGATTCTGAAAAGATCATGAAACTGTCTAGATGAAGAGGGACAGCAAATCCTGTCAACTCAACTTTTTTTGTGCTTGCATCGCATCCTGGTACCAAATGATCAGCGGTTGCCCTCCTCATCTCTGGTCTGAGCAGATTTGCGATTCTGCAGTGACATTGCGTGTGTGCCAGTGGCTTTGCTGCTATCTTCGTCTGCACTGCAGCTACTGTGTTTCAGGCTGGCAGTCCCTGAGCTAATGGCAAAAGAAATATGCATTGGTATTGATTAAACAAAACAGAGGTTGAAAACTGTGATAAATGGTGCCTGCTAGCTTTTCAGTATTGCTGATTTTAGTATTTTCCACATGTGCCCAAAGATCCACTACAGCAACATATAAAGCCATAATGTTCATCTTCTCACTCATGCAGGACATAGCTTAAAAAAACATAAGGCCAGCCAGTGTCTCCTGAGGAACAGACCAGAAACTAGTTGATCTGAGCACTGATTACACAGAACAGCAATCAATCAGCCTTACTGTGTCTGCTGGAAGAGCTTATACTGTAAAGGCTCAGCAAAGGCTGGTTTGTCCTAGATATGTCCTTTTTTTGCTCTCTGCCACATGCTCACATAAAAAGCTTTAGAAAATACCTGAATAAGGCTTTTAGAAACTCTTCTGTTACAAGAAAATACATTTTTTTTTTAGAACATTCTTCTTTCCACTGCTCTCTGACTGTCATTCTTTTTCTTTTCCTCTGGATGGATCCGTGTGGCAAGAAGATCTCTTCAGCTTGAATTCTTTTTTCTTTGCTGTCTTTTCCAGTTAATTTCCAATTCATTCATGTATATTCTGTGTCTCTGCTTGTTCTCCCAGGAGATGTCAGACAATAACCTTCTATACTGTAGATCAGAGGTTTTCTGAAAGTGACATGGAGTAGATTGACCGAGATGAGAACTGACTAATGCTAATTAATTCACAATTGTTGTATTATATGATTATATATATTGTTTAAAAAGTAGAAGGACCTCATAGTAACAGAGCTCTAGATTATTAATGCTCCCTTAACAGCAGTCCCTAATTAGTTAGAATAGGTTTGACCAGTTCTGCTGTCATGCTGTGCTGTGACTTTAAAAGGTCACAGCTAGTGGGATCTAAAAAGCCACTTGTGCTTTTGCTAATGTGAGTTCCTTAACAATTGATTCAAATGTATAAAAAAATAAAAAATTGAGAAGGCAGTACCATATACTGGTATTATAGCTGTTATTTACTGTTGCTTTGGTCAGAGGCTTTGCACTCCAAAAATTTGTTCAATGTGAAAACATCTTCATGGATTATAAAACAGGACTGTCACTAAACACTTGATTACATCTTATTACTATTCCCCAGTTCTTTGGGCAGAAGTGTGTTATCTCTGACTGCTCTGCAGACTGAAACATCTAGAGATTGCTGTAATCTGTTTTGCTGTCGGTGTCCCTAGAGCACTCGTTGCCAGCTGGAGAGAGACAAACAATGGGGCTCCCACAAAGATCACACTGTTCCTCCCCTTTCCTCTTCTGTCTAGTGAGCTGATGAAAAGGCACAGGCACAGGCTAGCCGTGAGTTTTCCCATAATCCAGGAATTAGCTGGCCTGATCAGGCAGCTATTTGGTCTCTTGCTACTTACGCCTGACACAAATGTGTCACCACATAGGAGAGAATCTGCCAGGTAAAATGCTTTCCCACAGGCAATGCTTTTTAAACCAGTGGTGCACAGTAAGCTTTAAAGCACAGACACGGTGATATGTATTTATGGTATCAGGAGTTCCCGAGCATCAAATTAGGCAATTTTGTATGCCTGCTAAGAATCTTCGGCTTCTTTGCTAGTCTATGCAGTTGCATTCAGTCATCTGTTGAGGACGTTTCTTAAATTCTTTGGCTGCCCTGCAGCTCTCTGCTTTGGTTAGGGACATGTAGCAGTCACAGCAGTCAGAACTGAAGGCACTTGGAGTTACAGAACAGTGTTGTGGAAAGTCTTGGTTATTTCTAAGCTTGATTTGGCAAAGCATTCATGAAGGTGCTGAGATATTAATATCTTTGCACTAAGCCATTTGAAAAACAGGAGTTGCAAAAAAGGTGCTGACAGTTTACCCCCAGGATGCAAAAAGAGTATTGTGGAATAATGTTCTGTAAGCTGCAATAATTCTTTAACGGCCCTGGGTTCAGCAGGAGCAGTCATTTTTCTCCTTCTTAGTGGCTGGTTCACTGCCGTATTTTTTACTTTAGTTTGGAACAGTGATGATAACACACCAGTGTTTGAGTTGTTGCCGAATGATATTTACTGCAATCAAGGACTTTTTCAGTCTCATGCTGTGCCATTGAGGAGGGGTACCGGAAGGCAGGAGGAAGCAGACACCTGAGCCAAACTAGCCAGAGGGGTACTCCATACCACAGCACGTCATGCCTGGGATGTAGAACTGGGGGCAGTTACCCGGAAGGGCTAGATCGCTGCCCAGGCTGGGGTGGGTATTGGTCAGCAGGTGGTGAGCAGTTGTATTCTCTTCTCTTGTTATTTTCCTTATCATTACTATCATTGGTGGCATCGGCAGTGGTTTGTGTTATACCTTAGCTACTGGACTGTTCTTACTCCAACCTGTAGGAGTTACATTCTTACCATTCTCCTCCCCATCACTCCAGGAGCAGGGGGAGGAAGGCGGGGGGGGGGGGGGGGGCAGCTGAGTGGTTCTGAGTTACCTGCTGGGCTTAAACCACGACATTAACCTACTATTCTACCAGGCCATGTATTTGCCAAGTTAAAAGGAGAGCCACATGGCACAAGAGATGGCGGTATGAAAAGTACTGTTAAAAAATGGATGATTGGAAATCTTTTTCACAACCCAAATGGGGTTGGATTGCCTTGTCTTTTTTTAAAACAATGACAGCAACTTCTGAGATTAAACCCCATTTTATCTGCTAAGTGAAGTTGAAGTATGTTTGGAAAAACAGGCATTTTGAAAATATAGAATATTTCTATTTCAGAACTGGGACACAGTGTGGGATGGGAATGTCTGAAGCATGTCACTGGTAGCATTTCTTGAGTATTTTGTTTGCCCTGGAACTACCTTTTTTAATGGTTAACAGTTCAGAAGTCATTCTGACAATGGGATGTGGCTTCACTGGAGTCACTATAGCTTTGCTGTGTCTAGAACCGTATTACAAAAACTATTATATACATTGTGTATTTTACAGCTCTGGCTCAAGAATGGAAGAGCTAAGAAACACAGGAAGTAGATCATAGGTGGCAACACAAGAGCCTTCATCATGATGCATCACTGGCAGCTGACATAGCTGATGCAGCTGATGTAGCTCCTCAGTCAGGCTTCATAACCACTGCTGAACTCAGTGCTCTAATAATAGTATTTCTTCCAGTAACCCTGCCGAGAGCTGGTGAGAAAGCACTGACCCCTTTGTGAACCTCACAGGCTTCATATTCCAAGGCCTGAATTGCCATTCAGATGCCAGTGAGGTCAAAGAGCTGGGCCAGGATGTTGTGCAGTGTCCTCTGGAAAATACACCAGCTTTCACGAGCTTCCGTTACTTTAGTCCTGACCTGTAGAGATGCTTATTATCAGGGCAGGGATTCTGTATGAGCGCTGGAAGTGAGACTGGACCAAACTAAATCCTCTCACTTGATGTGCTCACTTTAAAATTGATGGCAAAGGATTTCCATTCTCTTCTGTGTCTCCTGCTCTGTGCAAGCACGCATCTGGCAGTTCTGAACTACATGCTACTGTTCCTGCCCCCACATTCCCTGCTAGCCTATTCCTCTCTTTAAAATCTTTTAAGCTAGGCTTCTCTTTTTGACGTGTTACAGTGTGCGTGCAGAAAAGCACACACACTCAGTAAAAATTCTCCATGTTAGTCTTCTGTTCTTTCCTACTTTCTGTGCAGTGAAGAGATTAACACACAGAGCATTTTAAGGTTATGTTAATTAGAATAGCCACTAACCCGAAGTAACGCTAAGTAGGTAGGTAGGTCTCTGTGGGTTAATATATGAATTTATTGCAGGCTAAAAAGGCTCTACAACAAGCGCCCACTCATTCACTGACTTTTTGTTGTATTTACTTGTTAGGTGGGTTTTTTTGTGCATATGTTGTCATCTGAAGCAGGTCATGCTTTATGCAGATAAATATGATCATGTGTACAATTAATGTAGACCTGTAAATGTGTCCTTTAAAGTACAAGTTCACAAGACAGTTGCCAAAACCTTTTGATTTGAAACACACTATAGGCAGGAAAATGGGCTGAAAATGTGATATTACAATCCTGGGGAAGAAGCCCTTGCTTGGGAGTGGGTTGTAATTAAGGAAAACAGTTGTATTCCTTGTCAATATTTTCTATGTAGATGATGTATCTTGTCACTTATATCTATCTCTTGCTTTTGTGCCACAGAAGCTGTGCCTTCTCATGTTATTTTGTATGACCACAAATTAAACTTTTAAGTTCTTTTAGTCTGGTCCGGTATGTCATTGCACCATATTATGAACATTGTGTGTTAAATGTGAAGTTTGCCAAAAGTGAAACAGACTGAAACACCTTTGTCTTTTCTTTGTCAGGATAATAAAGTTTTGAATGGTGCCTCGCCAAGAAGTGTGATGAGAAATGGCTTTAGGAAACAATACCCAGAGAAGCTATTCCATCATCCCCTGCTTCATCTTTGTTGAGGTGAGTACAACATTCAGCTGCTAAGCCTACACAGAAGGCAGCTCTGCCCTGAAGGAAATAAGGCATTTGTTGGCCATTTTGTTTGTAAGGAAGCATACTTTCTTACTTGATAACATGAATATCCATCTTCATGCTTCGTACTATCAGGTCACACTGCATGAGTTAGCCAGATCTTAGGTACAAGCATGCAAGAACACTTGGATGCTGTGTTATCAAGACTTGACTGTATTCAATTTGCCAGCTAGTCTGGGTGCACTTGGTAGAGAAGCAGCAGTGCTTGCAGGTGTAGGTCAGTAGCAGCTGATTGCTCGTCTTCTCATTTTTCCTCAGACTTATTTCTATCCTGTTGCTGCACAAGGGCTGGACCTTGTTTAAGAAAATGTCTGATCTCACAGTCTAATGATCTGTAGGCTGAGGAAGCAAGACTTGGCTCTGATTTCAGTTCAGACAGAACATAAAATTGACATGAGGCATACCTAATGTGATGAAGAAGCTTGGCTAGCACAAGGGCTGTGAATTGAGTAGCAGTGAGTTACAGGAGTTGTTCCAACAATGGACTATGGCTCCACATCTTTGTTAAGGGTAGTTGTTTGGGTTTTTTTTTAATTGGCTTAGTATTTTACTCCATGCATCTCTGCTCCCTGGGGAAACTGAGAGGCTGTTCTGACAATAGGTCACTACTTTATCCCATTAGGTAGAGAAAGGAATGTGAAAAATGGGGAAAAACCCACAATAAGCTCAGAAGGAACCAAATAAACACTATCAAGAATGAGATGTCTCAAATTTGTTGCAAGCAAAGGACTAAAACAAGACTTTTAGTCTTCTAAATGTATGAATAATGAATAGGTTTGCAGCCTGTGACAGAGTTATAAATTGTCTTTCCCGTAGGCAAGACTGACATGAAAAAAGAATGAATTTTTTTACAGCTGGAAAATAAAAAAAATTTACTTCTAAGTTTACTTTCCTTCCTTTGTTGATTAGACACATTAAGACACAATTTTAAATTAAAAATCAGTCAAAACCAGAGAGATAGTATCTGAAGAGATGTTCTCTCTGCTACATTTGATAAAACGTCTATTTCTTCCTCTCTTTGTCCACAATATAGATTTTTACTGAAATACTACAAATTCATAGGCTTATGTCAAGCATTGTAGCATTAAACAACAGGAAATCTGATTTCCTGCTGTGAATGAAGAGATAATTGATAGTAGCTATTTGGTCCAAAAAGTCCTTGTAAATCTTAAGGCATGCTGAAGGTGTTTTTCTTTTCATATTGACGTGCTTCTGAGTCCAAAGGAAGTGCTTTTTTTTTTTTTATCAGCTACTCCAGACACCAAGCCATGTACTGAAATGCCTTGGTTAGGATGGTCCCTATTTTTGTAGCTTTGAGACAACCTTGAGAATTGATTATGTGTGACACTTTGCTGCAGTTCCTAAAGATGCATACAGAACAGCTAAAAATAATGTTGCCTGTTTTCCTGACAATATTTTTCTGTGTGAAAACAATATAGAAGCAAACATGTTAGCTGATCATGCATAGGAAAAGAGACGGTCAGTAAATATTATGATGGGCCTTGGTCATGGATTCCCCAGAATGTTCTTCCTCCCCCACTGTCTTACATGGAACGTGACACTGTGATTAAAAATTCTGAAGTATTTGCTCTTAAGGAAAAACTGCTGAGCACCTATTGCCCTGTTAGCTGCACTGCCAATAGATTGCTAGCTGCCCAGTATGCAGTGTGCATTCAAGGAAGTTGTGATTGCAGTCATGGAGATGAGGTGTCACAAACAGTTTGGACATTTTAAATACCATTATGTTTCAGTTTGTAAAAATGTGACATTTATAATTTCAGCAGTTATTCGCAGTTCTGGTTTTTTTTCCCATTTCATGTTCCTCGCACTGAACTAATTTGTCGTAGACAGTTATGAAAACTGACCTGAAGAGGAATGGCTCATTATAAAAACTGAAATCCTATGCTTGGCTCCACAAATTCCTTTTTATGTTCAAAATATGTACTTTGTAATAATACAGAGATACCATGTGATGTCTAATCTGTAGTGACAGGAATGTTAAATTACTGATTTCTGTCCCTAATTGGAAAAACAATGTCGTATTATGAATAGATCTAAAGGCTAAATAGGGAATCATTAAACTAATTTTTAGCCACTTATCAAATCTGAGTCCCTCTCCCAAATAATGTACACTGCTTTCTAAATGGTTCTTTATTCAATTGCAAGAGGTATTCTTACAGTCAGGCATTTGTCACCTAATGTTTATGAAGATTTGGTATATTACATTTTTTTAAACACATAAGCAATTAATTAGAATGTACAGGACACTAATATTTTTCTTTTCTTTGCCCCACTTAGCAGCATTGCTGGCAGCCAGTATCAGTGAAAGGAACCTTCAAGAGGCTCTTGCCCATCCTTGGTTTACATGTAAAAGCTTGCTAAAAGATGAGACCACTTTTGTTCCTCACTCAGCTGACACGTACCACTGCTTTGAGCAGTGTACAAACCACTGAGTACCTGGTCTCAGTACTGATGCTGTTAGGTGCTGACAGTTAAATAGAAGAGCAAAGAGAGGATGCCCTACTCCCTCCAGTAGCTTCCAGAGTCCTTTGAAGTCAGTGATAGAGCAAGGGCATGAAGCGAAGGCTGTGGATCCCCTACCTGTTGGTGTGCCCTGGATCTACCCCAGCAAATGCAGATAGTGCACAGCAACCTATTTGAGGATTTGTTGATGGCCAGGACTGATCAATAAAGTGGTCTTATGGATTGTAGATAAGCATGAGAGAAAGTAGGAGAAACAGCATCTGGGATGACAGGAAAAAAATTCTCACATATTATCATATCATAGAACGGTTTGGGTTGTAACAGACCTTAAAGATCATCTACTTCCAACCCCCCTGCCATGGGCAGGGATACCTTCCACTAGACCAGGTTGCTCCAAGCCCTGTCCAGCCTGGCCTCAAACACTGCCAGGAACGGGGCAGCCACAGCTTCTCTGGGCACCATCATCTCCCTCCCAAGGAAGAACTTCTCCCTAATATCTAAACTAAATCTCCCCTCTGTCAGTTTAAAACCATTCCCTGTTGTCCCATGACTACATGCCCTTGTAAAAAGTCTCTCTCTAGATTTCTTATAGGCCCCCTTTTTGTAATGGAAGACTGATATAAGGTCTCCCCTTATTTCTTATGCTATCCCTGATTTTGGAGGATCTGTGCTGGTGGGTCTGCATCTGACTTCTGCTTCATTAAACATGTTTGCATATGTTCTTCCCTTTTGACGGACTTTTGACTTGTGCTGTCATTTGTTGCCCAAAACCTTTTTTGGGCATCTCCTCCCTCTTTCACCTGCAGGGACATACCTGGCAGAGTGCTGTCAGAAACAACCTTAATGGTGCTTCAACACAGCTGTCTCACTATTTTGCAACCCTATCTCACAAGTTTTTCAAGGAGTACTATGTCTCATCCTTCCAGGTAACATACTGCTTGAAGCTGAGGAAAGTAAAATCGTAACAGGTAGAGGTGTATTTTGTATACTGTGGCCCAGTTTTCTGCAGGGAGGGAAAAAATTGTCAGAACAGCTAAGATTTAGTCAACGTCAGATGTAGAAGTGGGAGAAGTGCAATGCTTGGCAAATCTCAGTTCTCTTCCCAGCAGACTGGTGAGCTACCCTGAGGGCTTGATCTAGCGTTCTAGGACAAAACTCATGGAGGGGGAGGGGGGCGGAGGTAAGAGAGCTGAGTACAGCCTGGCTTTGACTTTATTGGGTCAGAGTTATTATACTTGCTTTTTCAGCGTATTTGATGCTTATCATTAGTGACAGAAAGTGTAATGCAATGTGATAATTGCATTTTCTAGTAGATGTTGGAAGGGTATTTGCATAGTATGAATGCACAGCATCCCCACAGCTTATGAGACTTCATGGGGAAAGCATGCGAACAGCTTTTAAGCTTTGGTGTCTGATTGAATGGTGGTTTTTAAAGAAGCAGTAAGCAAGCAACACTTCCTCTTTTTCCTGCAAAGGCAACCCTCTCATGTCTTCTGAATCAACAGCAGTTATGATTACGATGGGTCCCTAGATAATAGAAAGACAAAATTATTTTGGAATTTCTGCTGATGTGTGGTTTCTACTTCCTTTCACCTCCTTCTTCTGCAACTACCTGGCTTGAGTTCTTTCAGGGTGTGAGTTATCGGAGGATCTATTTTCAAGTATAGTTACTTTTAAAGGAGTCAAGTATATCTGAGGTGTGTCTTTGCACTTGAAAATACTGCAATTTTCTGGTACCAGATTTAATTAAATAGTCTTAAACTGATCAAAGAGTTACAGAATACCAACTGACTTTAATATGATTGATGTATGTGCCACATCATGCTTTATTATGGAGTATTGTAATCCTGACACTGACAAGATAGTAGATGCAGACTCGAATAAGCAACACCATTAAAACTTAAAACCTTAGATGTCTTTCAAATTCTGTAATCTGAAGATCCTGTTTTCTCACACTAAATTCATTATTCTGCCCCCGGGAAAGCTTTTGTAGGCAGAGTGGAAACTGTGTCTTTATGACGACTCCATATATAGTGCATTGCAAAGGAATGAAGATTTTGTAAGAGAAATATCCCCCTCGCTCCTGAATAAAATGAAAAATGCTGCAAAATAGAAAGCTCTGGTCTTACATCTATTCTGATGCAAACTTTGATTTGAACTGTAGGTATGTTACAGCCTCATAGGATCTCTGTTTTAACACTCAGTGGGGTAAACTTTCCTTCATTTTTGTAATTTTAGTTTTGAACAGATTGAATCGTACTCAAATATCCGTTCAAACATAATTTAAAAAAATTAGTTTAAACTTACATAAGCACAAAAGAGAAGCTTTCTTCTTTTTCTACCTGCTTGCATTTTCCTGCCAGTATTTAATGTAGTCAAGCCAACAGCTGAACTATTCTTTAGCAGGAGAATTTTTGCAATGCTGAAATATTTGTCTAAGTGAG